AGAAAAATAATACATATAAAGGTACACCAGTCATAAGGAAATCAAAACCCAAGTATCCCAAACCACAATCACACGGGAAATCTAGCAATGTTTAATACCCCCTCGACCAAGTACAACTACCACACTTCGAGACGACAAAACAAAGGGCCATTTCATTCATATTGAAGAAAGTAAAACACCTATGAAGAATAAATTTAGAATTGAGATCCAATAGTCATGATCTTAAAACTAGTTGTTGTATTCATACAAGATAGAGAATTCAGTCTAAAATGATGTGACGTGATGCTATGGTTATTACTTTTGTTTGATTACGTTGTTTCTTGGATTTTGAATTTTGTGATATTTCCAAGGTCAATATATCCTGACTAGTTTCCTGACGTATTCTTTAAATTCAAAGTAAGTATTGGGTACTTATTTGAATAGATACCACAAATGCCCCAATGTACACACAGACCATACTATTACAACACCAAGATACCACCTGACAGTTTACAAAGGAAGTTCTGCAATTTGACATGTGTAGATAAATAAAAGGTACCCAGTTATTTGATCTGCCCATATCCATGTTTCCGGAAAGAGTGATCTCTCTGGTATTGTAATTTCACTATCGTTTCCCCAATCCTCTCCATATTCATAAAACACTGGGTATACTGAAATAATAGCCCTAATATAATGCTTCATGGTGACATAAATGTGATGATCCAATATTAATCTTAAAAACTTTGTAACTTCGCTATTTATTTCTGTTGGTGTGCTTATGCCTTTTTAGATGTTCTTTTCGCCGACCAGGGTTCGAGGTCATTCCAAATGACACGAGTGTAAAATGAGGCCATGACAAATAAAAAATGCTTAATAAGAATATCATCTGTGTTATCTTGTATCTACCGAGAAGCTAAACTAAGCAAAGTCAGAAGACCCCTTAAAAAGGAAGAGGAGAGAAAATCCCAGAGTGACCATTTCATAATTAAGATATATCCTCAGCATCTATCAAATGCTACAATTAGGACATTACTGTAGATAATAGTGTTCCGAGCCTTGGTTTTTAAAGCTGCTGGGCTAAGTCAAAGTTGTCTCAAAAAGTTGAACATGCTTTCATATGATATATAATACAAGGAGGTATGTCATTAGGATTGACGATTGGCCGGGAATGGTCATTTTGACACACCCTGTATATTCATATTACTATAGTAAAGAATTTACAACATATACAATGAAAATAGGTAAGAGTAAGAAAAGGCAAGGAAACCCCATAGCTAAAAACCTTTACTTTGAATCTAGTTACTGTATAATGACGTGGTTTACAATATCCCTTTAATCTTTGGACAATCCGGACTCGTCATGCCAACGAACAAGTATAATCTTCAAATACCAGTCCAACCATATACAGTTAAACATATAGATATGCATTTTGATGCTGCTTCTATCAAAGTGGTCCAGGATCGACCATTCTGTTGGATTTATATACACAAGAATTTAATTTTACCAGGGTATAGATGTTACAATTGATATAGTTGGATTAGGAACATTTAAATGGGTAATAAAAAGTATAGCGTTTATTATAAGTACCCCAATATCACGTTTGTCCATAACCATGTTTCGGGGAAACGTGTTCGGATACTAATAGAAGCAGATGCTTGGGTTTTAGGTCTAACTTTAAACTTAGTTTGCAACGAGTCCTTTGTGCTATCATCAACATAAAATGATGCCGCACAACGTTTTCCTTTGCGACAACCCCTTATCAAAAAGGGTGCTGAAAATGAATGATTCAGTAAATATAATGTATACAATAAAAGTAGGCTAATTTTTGGGGTTTACTCCGACGTGTATATAACCCGCAGACACAATGTACGAGGTGGAGCAAATTAAATAATTTTGTCCAATTCTTTATGAAACCATAATGAACTATGAAGGGCTACTTTTCATAAATGCACTGTAAAATAAAATGTTTCCGTAAATACGATGACCGTTTACCTTGAATAAATCCACTGAAATACTCCAAGCTGATTGGTTGGATACACTTGGCAATTTTGAATGGTAAATACTAAATTACCAAATAACGTTAGATCAATTGATCCCACTCAACATTACTTAAAACATAAATCACAATTTTTAGTTGCATACATTACAATTTTTCGGGTATCTAATATAAATTCAAATCATTTTAGCACCATATTGTTGATAATGTGTTATTCCTCTCTCCACTTGTTCACAAAAAATCGACAGATGGAATGAGCTCATGGTGAGCTTAATAAATCCTCCAGCTAGTAGAATTAGCTGGAAAGCTATCAGCATAATGGCTATTACAAACACAGATTATGGGTAGAATTAAAGATGGCAGCAGCAATAGAATCTAACTCAGCAATTGCCATGCCATCTTTAATTAAAGAATATTTCGTCCACCCTTAGCCTGGGGTTATAAAGATTCTCATTTTGTTTTGTAAAAATAAGACGATCGTAAAACCTCCAAAACGTTCCAGTTTTGCATATCAATTGCATTCAATAATATGCACCTGTATCATGGAAAGTCATTTTAGTACTGTGATACTATTACTACTCCAGGTAATGTGATACCATACCTGGAGGTGTAAAGATGGCTCCAAGTGTTCAAATCGGGTAATTTCAACTTTAAAACAAGAACACAAACGTGTACAAAATGTCCCCACCAAGTGGTGATCCCGTGAAATTGTTATCCTGAAAATGAGTAGACAAGACTTTACCAACACAATTTGAGGACGGAAAATCCAAAGTGGCCACCTTAAAATTTACCCAGAATGCCAAAAATTTAGTCAGTTCTAGATTTTCATACTAAGAACCACCCCTGAAAATTTGAAATTGATCCGTCACACAGTTAACCAGAAAACATGTAAACAAGACTTTACAGACAAGATTTCAGGATGGAAAATCCAAAATGGCTGCCTTGACATTTACCCAGAATGTCAAAAAACTAATCTGTTTGTAGATTTTCATACTAGAATCATCCCTGAAAATATGAAATTGATCTACCAAACGGTTCACCTGAAAACGGGTAGACAAGACTTTACAGACAAGATTTTAGGACAGAAAATCCAAAATGGCTGCCTTAACATTTACGCAGAATGCAAAAAAAGTAATCAGATGTAGATTTTCATACAAAGAATCATCCCTGAAAATTTGAAATTGATCTATCAAACCGTTCTCCTAAAAACGCGTAGACAAGACTTTACAGGCAAGATTTTAAGACGGAAAATCCAAAATGGCTGCCTTGACATTTACCCAGAATGCAAAAAAACTAATCAGTTCTAGATTTTCATACTAAGAATCATTCCTGAAAATTTGAAATTGATCTACGAAACGGTTCACCTGAAAACGAGTAGACAAGACTTTACAGACAAGATTTTAGGACGGAAATCCAAAATGGCTGCCTTGACATTTACCCAGAATGCCAAAAAACTAATGAGATCTAGATTTTTATACTAAGAATCATCCCTGAAAATTTGAAATTGATCCACCAAACGGTTCACCTGAAAACGCGCAGACAAGACTTCACAGACAAGATTTTAGGACCGAAAAATCCAAAATGGCCGACAATAAAAAAGTCCTTATGAGTTTTTGCTGATTTCTTTTTACAAAATTATCACATATAACTACTGTTAACAATAAAGTAGGCTTTTACAGCAAAGTACATCTGAAATTATTTATAAAGCTACTAAATAGTTAAAGTATGAAAACTCAAAAACACCATTCAATATGATACAAAGTATTATCGCGCGCTAACTTTTCTTAAGACATTCAAAATGGCTGACATGACTAAGCTAGCAGGTCCAAAACCTAATCAGATCTAGAATGAAGTGAGTTGAACAAGATGTTAAAGTTTTAAAAGCAACTGTGAAGCAGTTTTTCTTAAAGTTTGCAGACAAGGATTTTAGCATTTGACTTCAAAATGGCCGACAGGAAGTAGGTATCGAGTTAATTTTTTTTCATCCACATCTGTATGCACTCATAAGTTATCCCTGAAAATTTGAAGGTGATATCTGTAGCGGTTTTGGAGAAAACTGCCGGACGTACGGACAGACGGACAGACAGACGGACAGACAGACGGACAGACAGACGGACGGACGGACGCGCCTAGGCCGACAATATGGCCCCACACTATGTGGTGGGGACATAATTACCCAGTATTTAAAAGCATGACACCGGTGTAATAACAGATTCAGATACACGTGTGTGAAAGCCACACCCTTCTCGGATACCACAGTGTTCGGATCTCTTGCCCAACTATTCTGAGAATCAAAGATTTTCTGAGTTCACTTATTCTATGAGAACATCAAATTCACAAGGGAAGGTGACCAAAAATATTTTGCGGGGATAACGTTACGCATAAAATGTTGGTTAACTTTTGAAAAATGGGCCCACTTCGAAATTGTAACAATTTTTTTCAATAATTATTTTCTATTTTGAAATTAAGATCCAGCCTGAGTATATTAATATATTATATTTCAATATTATGTTGCTTCTGAGCTGTTCCACGGTTCACAATTCGCACACCCGGGGATCTGCCAGCCCCCAACAGCTTTCATGCTTGTTTATAACGGAAGGCATTCACATAAGTACATCTGATATTTCTAATAATCCTATACTTAGTGTACTAAATGTATAATAACATAAAAAAATCTGATATCTATTGGCAAAATGAATAACCTGAGGATATCGCCACGATATGCCCCAGAAAACCAATATAGGAAAGATATCGTGATGATATACTCCGTTCGTTGATTTCCAGCTTATTTGAACTATTTGACATTAAATTAAATTTTCAATGATATTATACATTAAGTGCAATACTTGTGAGTGTAGGATAATAAGACCATCCTATGATTTTTTCAGAATAGCATTTTAATCTACTCGTCGATATTGATATATGCACTCGTTCGCTTCACTTTCTCATGCAGATATCAATATCACCTCGTACATAAAGACGGTATTCCTCAAAATCATAGGATATCCTATAAATATAAACGTACGGTAATCATCCTTCTCTTTGTGGATGTATGCGTCTGTTAGTACTTTTACACCAGCATTCTGAAATCAACCACTAAATATTAACTCTATATGAATGATACGTAACATACTACTCAACAGGAAATTGATTCAGGATTAAACTTTTTATTAAAAAGAACGTTTGATGTATTGAACTTTAGATTATATAAATAATATCTTTGTTCAAATATTTTACATTCACTTAAATTTTTGTTATCCAAAGAAATGTGGAAGAAGTGCTAAATCGTATTGGGCTTTGTAATCTCATTCTTCTTGCTGTGTTTGATGAAAAACTTACCTCAAACATCTCCGTTGCATCAGCTCCAATGTCAAACCAGGGCCACCAGATTGATCTTCTGCGCCTTCTCCTGCCCCAGGGACGTATCGGGCTCGGGAAGTTAGTATTATCCTCTGATGTGTCATATGAGCCCAGTTCACTTAGCACCTAAAGAGCAATAGCGATAGACAATACGTTATGGGTAAGTTAAATGTTTACACACATAACATTAACCAAATGAACATTGAAATAACGACTCATCGTGACGTTGCAATGTACCAGGAAGTAGAAGGTCCCCATTGTGCCGGTTAAACTCTGAATATTGTATTTTAAAAAAAAATTCATACGTCAGCCTGTGTGATGTCATTTCCTGTCTTCAGGAGAAGAACGCTCTGGTCTACAGCAAGTATTCCTACAAAAGATCCACTTGTTGCCGTGACGTCGACTGTCACTTCTTCACCAGGTTTTGTCTGAGGTTTGTTAAATCGCACTGTAACCTAATAAATATAGATACTGACTATATGTAAACATAACTAACATTCACAAAATATATTTATACGCTCCAAGATGATACTATTTGGGTTACAGCATCACTCATTCGTGGGTCAGTTTCCGTTCATTTAGGCTAATATCTAAAGACCTAGAAATGTGTATACGAAAAGGTATTTCAAACTTGGTCGAGTGTTCATGATCATTTGAAAGAGTTTTTACTCCAGGCCTGAGGTAAGGTCAAAAATTTACATATCAATATGTATATATTGCTTTAAAAAATAATTTGGTTTAGAAAAATAAATGCTATGATGTTTATAAAAGGTGATATCACTGATGTTTTCACGTACATCATTCTTACATGCACAATTGACCTTGACCTCCAAGCTATCAGCAATGACTTCACTTTTATCAATATAGAAGACGATGATCCGGGCAGTGGGTGCCATAAGACAAGTGACTTCAATACTAAACGTTGCAACTTTGCCTGACATGCTCACTTCATCTACTTCAATGATATTCCCACGAGCAATAACCTAAAATAAAATAATGAATTAGTAAACGATAGTAAATGATAATTACCTCTAGAAGGATTATGGATTCTATACATACTTTTGAATAATAGTCTTGGGACCCCAAACAGAGTACAATTTTGAACCAAAAGCTTGAATTTGAGTTTTTGCATACTCCTAAAATCTGTATTTTAGCATATAATCGCCTAAAAGTCAATTGAAAGCTTTTCAATAGGATGGTGCCATGGTCTGAATGGATGCGGAGATTCGATCGGCTGCGATTAAAAAGACTTTTATAATTATTTGAAAATTTCCTCCAGTGGCAAAATACACCACAAACTCTGACCACTTTTATGTCATCTATCGTGATTGATACAAGAATTTCTAAATAGTGCAAAATAAATAACTAAATCTAATAATTGGTTAAATGAGGGGTTGAATACTGGATTTTGGTTGAATTGAGTATGGGATTAAACCTACACTGGCTTGGATAAGGAACTTCAAATATCAATGAAGATATTTATAATGATGGTATTTCCTGGGAAAACGTGAATTCCTCATACGGAATAATATATCTATCTATGGAGGAAGCGCTTGCAATACCTTGGCGAGCAATACTTCAATGATATATTCCTTATTTTTCGTACTTTGCACTCGATGGCAGTCATAAATCTCTCCTTGGAGGAGCCCTGAATTACATAATGCACTAACAAATTTTGTGTTAGTCGGGAATGGAACTCGAGAAAAAGCGACATTGGTGACCTTAGCTCTGCAAATGATATAAGTTTACCTCCATCAATACGCTCTCCGTATTAAATACATTTGAGAGGTGATTTTTCAAAATCAAAAGTTGTAATTTTTTAGATTCAAAGCTTAGTACTTACAATATATTTAAATCCTGTTATGGCCTTAGTTGATCTGACCTTGAACTCTGCATTCATCCCCGCCTGAGATAAACAAAAATACAAATGGTCAAACTAAATGTAATACCTGTCTTAAAAAAGATCATCCTGTGTTCCGATAGTTCTATGTTTTATGATCAATATCAAAATATTACCTTTACTTCCTCCAAATCTGTGACGAGGCTGATTTGAATTCCATTATTCGTTTCAGTGTGAAATTTATCAACAGTTTTGTAGGCAGAAATCCTAGTATTGCTTACCAACACAGCCTAACAGACGTGAAAAATAAATTATACGATCTATAACCTACTGCACATTTAAAGTACTTCTAAATGTTGTATCAATACACTCTTCAGTAGCAAATTGATTCCGGATTCATGCAACATCATGCATATGATTAGAAGGATCTTGATATTTTGAACTGTATTTGAGATGAATATACACCCACTTACCCTTAAATCCAGTGTGTCGATGTCCATGTCGATGTTTGTAATAGTGATGACTACAACACCGTCGTCGGGAATGCGATATTCACTTTCAACTGTTGTCGGTGTCGGTTTGACATATCTACGTAAAACGATTAATGCCGTTGGATACATTAAATTATCATTTATTTGGGCTTTTATTAGCTAGTATTATCGAACAATAAAAAGCATTTCAACGGTCTTATATTTTAAACAAATGTTTTAAATTACAAATAAAGGCGTTGATACGCACCAAAGTGAAAGAAAAAGAAAGATGTTTTAAAAAGGAGTAATGATAATTTAGGTATACAGTCTATTCATACGGCAATGTGAGATTTTTGTTAACAAGCATTTCCTACCGGCCGAAAAATCGATTGTGGTTCGTTGTTGCGTAAAATGAGATTCTCTCATTATGTCCAACACCAAGAGGTGAACCATCGGGCCTCGATGCCTTTACCTATAACAAATCGGATAACGATTTTTGGCTTCCAGATTCTTCAACCCTAACCCTTAAATTTCCCTAAACCATAACCCTAATTAGTTAATAAAAACACTAAATGAAATTCTGCGATAAGAGCTGGTGTGAAAAGTCCACTCTAGTGGAGATCGAACCGATGACCCTTCGATTTCCGAACGAGTGGCCTACCACTGAGCTATTCACCCTAAAGAATTTCGCTTTGCCATCTCCGGTTGTGTGGTGCTCATCCGTAACAAATCAGGTAGGGCACGAATACTAAACAATAATATGTCCAAAGATGGATGTTATATGGGGTTAATATCGGCCTTTCTCTACAAAAAATGACAATAGGAGTGACACCACCAATGTCATCATCCTGGGATCAACGTAATATACTCCACCTGTCACATAATTACTGAGGGTGGTTCGGGAAGCTTAGACACTAGACTATGTCTCCCAGGTCAACTAAACGAGACTGCTCACCATTTGACACCGACTGCATGACTTGATACGTGTTCACAACGGATGGTGTCTCAAGACATGGTCTAAGTCACCTCTCCAAAAAACTAAGATATATTTTTTCTGTCCTAGTTTTGGAGCTATTCCACTTGCAGTGCTTTTTAATGATTTTTTTTCTTTTTCTATTTGGCACGAATGGGATTGCACATCTTCGTTATATGGGGTATGTTTTTACCCGATATCCCAGTCTATTTAATTCTTCCCTATTGATTTTGTAATTTATTTTAACAAACTACATGAATGCTTCTTAGTGTCAATTATACATGTACTTACATATGCGGTGTATGATAGTCCGGCTCTTAGATTATCAGCTGATGCGTCCATGAATTCCAACTTAAAATCGTATTGATGTATCGGTATTTTAAGTTCTTCCGACGACAAAACTATATTTGTCAAATCTTCTTTTACCTCTGCTATACATATAATGTCGTAATAGTGAATAACTGTTCTTCCAGTTACGGCTAGGAGCTCCGAAATTGGAATAGAAAATGCTACTCTGCCATCAATCTACAAATAAAAAAGGAAATTACTTAATGTGACAATCCTTACTAAAAATCATATTTCAGTGATAAAATTCAAGGTATAGGTCCTGGGGCGTGTGTAATTTGCAGTTTCCCCCTAAAAAACGTTCTAACTTATCCGTCACCAGGGCCAAAATCTTCCTCTTATATTCGCGTCGGGAAGGGGTAAAAGTGACGTCACATCACCTAATAAGCCGATACGCGATAATTTTTTAGATTCGTTCAGTTTAGTTACCTCACGTTTGAAGAGCTCCTATGAGAGGTACAACTTCGTCTACATCCGGGTTCTTTCCCATTGGATTACACAGGAGTGCGATTTTCAATGCCGCACTACGGCTTTATTAAACATTTATGTAGTGTTGCATTTGCACAAATGATAGATGTGTATGATATTAAGATATACTAACAAGGCTTTTTGAACTATAATCCCTGATTATTGAATATAATGTATCATGTAACTATGTTCGAGCGCTGAGTGGAATATCGGAGGCTGAGAAACTGTCATTTTGTCAAGATTCACGCTAGTTTTATCAGAATTTGTTCGTGAAATTTTGTTCGAACAATCTTCCGCCAAAATGATGCTATGATTACGCTATGATGTAATCCTCGACCAATGAAATTAGCGGACCGTGACCTTTGACTCTGCAATCTCCGGACCTTCGTTCAGAGTAATCGACTCGTTCAGCGGGCCAATGAAAATTTGTCCCTTTCAAAGCGATGCATCATGGGAGATATTTATGTAAATTACCATCTGAACTCCTATCGCGAATATGTCTATTCCCGGGAATTTAGTAAAAAATCAGGAAGTCCTCCCAAGAAAAGGTTCAATGCTGTAAAATAAACGCGGGATAAAGAATTTACAAATGTATTCAAAATGTCAACTTATCAAAACACGATGACTAAGGACTTTAACATGGAAGATCCGAATCAAATTTTTATACAAGGGCCGATCAAAAAGTTTCTTACCGTTGGCTCTCAATTTTATAATAAGACGAGTTGGAAGCTCAAACTTTAACATGAGACAGGATAGTTAGTTTGCTTGAAACTGTACGAGTTTCATATAAATTGGTTTATTGGTAGTGAGGCAGAGTCAATTCATATTTTCAATGACGAAGTTAGGTGGAGCGGCGTTATATATAAAATATCTGCCCAGTTGTGGTTCTGGAAATTCACCGACATCGTTTCAAACCTCTCATACGAAGGCCTTAAACATGTGTTTTTGGATCGAGTGGACAGATATAGGAAGTGCATTGCAACTGGGGTTAAATATATATTGAATGAGAATGAATATTAGTAGAAAAACTAATTAAACATGATTAAACTACAGTATGTTGACATCATTGACACTTCTTAGTTTTAGAAATTCCAAAACTGCAACTAAGCACAATTTTTTATAAAAAACGCTGCTCCACCTAATTCAATCATTGAAAATATGTGTTGACTCTGTGTCACTACCAATGAACCAATTTAAACGAAACTCAGACAGTCTCAAGCAAACTTACTACCCTGTCTTATTATAAGATCTAGAGCCAACGGTAAGAAACTTTTTGATCGGCCCTTGTATATTATGGTGTGACAGAGATCGTGAGTATTGGCAAACGTTTGGAAATACGTTGAAACTAAACGTCCGATCATAACAATATTGAGTACTTCTAACTTTAATAATGTGTGCTACTTTAATGAGGAAATAATAAAACAAATATTGAATTCTGTGATCGTTTAATATCTGACACCGGTCTGCCTTCGGTCCCTCGGGGAGATATAAATATGTTCCTCAGGATATACCCTATATCCAAAACCTCCCAGTACATAACCCTTATATATTTCTTAGGCATGTATTCACCTCGCCCTTTGGGCTGCGGTGAATATACCTTCAGAAATCTATACAGATATTCAACTCCATAGAATTAAGTATTTGAATGTATAGTATTGCACTCAACATCATTCAATATTTGTATAGCACTACATTTATAATATATTATTATATTTCAGAAACAAGTCAAATTCTTTACTTCAGAGAATATTTTTAATTTATTGAGACTTTCGACTAATATCCCTTAGTCTTTTTCAAAATATAACAGCATGTATACAATTTATGTGACGTCATAAACAGACAATGGAAAATTTAATTATGTAATAAATGACCTAGTAACCTAAAAAATAACAACAACAAGAACTATTATTATATTATTTTACCTGGTATGTCTTATTCACCATTCCTCTGATATTTCTTAAAGAACATTGAAGTGTCACTTTTCCTTTTACATTCTTTCCATATGTATACCTAAATTAAAAAGAGAACATTTACCTATTGGCATGAATACGTGTGGATATGTTATAAATTGTTTTGATGATAATGTTATTTAACTTAACAACCTTGGTCTAACCAAAATTTAGGGATTCAGCTCGTCCATGTCATTCCCCTGTGGGATCATGCAACGATTTGGAAACAACAATTTTTGTGAAATGGTTAAGCACACAATGCACTGAATCCAAGGCTTAAATCCTTAAATAACATTTAAAATTTACCATGGGGGAAATGGTTCAAAATATTTTTCGCGATGGGATACCCTGTCTACTGGCAAGACAGTGGACATGATATTCAAGAGAGAAAAATGTGGCAGTCATTATTTGTTTTATCATACCCCATAAGTACTCTGTAAAAATATGAGATTAGGGGTCTATCAATTTTAACATCAATGTTGAAAGATTCTTATTAGCATTAAAAGGTATTTGTTCAACTGAAGACGGAATAGGATCTAGGAAGATCCTCAGAAGATAACTTGACAAAATTCTTTCAATTTTAGAATTATTTGGGCTCATATCATCCAGTGTTATGTATATTTTCTAAAAAGCCCTAAACTGTATACTGTATTTCTCTCTAAATATGGCTACCATTTTTTATTTTATGGGAGAATTTAAAAATTTTCTCCATTTTGGCACTTGGAATCCTTAATATCTAAACCAATTAATAACATATTGTAGATACTATATTTGAGACTTTTAGGAATATATTGGGAGGTCAACTGTACATGTTTTTTGCAATTTAGTCAATTCTTACTGATTTGATTCTTAACCTCATATACTTAAGTATTTAAATCACAACTAGCAGAAATATAAGAAATACAATCGACTGGCAGGTAAGCAGGACTTTCGATCTTTCCAAGGAATAAGGCAATCTACTTTACATCATACGCCATAAAGCTAAGTTCACACCAACGGCGCTTTGATGGCGCTTTAAAGCGGCGTGCAAAGCGCCGTTGCTGTGAACCTAGCTTAAATAAGCCAATGAGCATCCAGAGTACATATATAGTGTAATATTTAGAGGTTATGTCACTATGACGTGAAATATGCCTGAGTTCTCCCAATATAGGCCGACCTTGGAAGGCTCTATATTTGGGCAAGAACGAAGGCATATTTCACGTCATAGTGACATAACTGATGTATTACATGCCTTTGTTCCCATGGTTACTTTGTATCAATGACGTGACGTCATGATATTATCATGGTTATTAAAGAAATCTAATATCAAAACGAGGTAAGCGGGCTATATCGGGGTAATCGGGCAATATCGGTGGATATAGCTCGCTAACTTTCCCATTGACTTCAATATAAATGCTTCGCTAGGTATGTAATACAACATAATATAAACCGCACTGTTCTTTATCTAACTTACAATGCTTCGATCTTTCCTGAAATATCCTTATCATCATTATCCCCATCGTATAATATATAGGCTCTGCTAGGCTTAATTTTTACTTCAAACTTGGGTAACACTGAAATTAAAAGTTAGAAACAATGGAATAAGTAAATGTGGAGCTACATGCATGATATATCCTATATCAGTTTATGGATATAAATATTCTCTTAAATTATTAAACTCATGTTTGAATTATAAAATAGTGTCAATACTAAACAATAAAGGTAAATTCAGAGGGGGTCTGGTTTGTGAAAGTACTTCAATCTGTCAATGAATGGAGTAGGTCATTCACTGTAAAAAGCACCAAAGAAAAAGCAATTTTCGAAAATCTGTTGAAAATTTCAATTTAAATGCTTATAATGCACCATATAAAATCACTGCTCCACAGCTTGATGACTCTAACTGCAGTTAGTTTCATTCAAGATGATTGCTGAAATTCTTTTGATTTTGACAAACCTCCGATTTCAGCTAAACTAAGATGAATCTGGATTCCAAAAGTTTCGCCATGTAAACTAATACAACTATGATTGTTAGAAAACACAAATAAATGCCAACACAGCCTCGATAGTAGAGAATTTGAAAGAAAACGGCTTCACTTAGAATGACTCAACTGAAGTTGAAGCTCTATTCTTTAAAATGCTCCCATGTCATAGTTGTTAGGGCATTCATCTGTGGTTGTTTACAATTGCAGCTTTATTAGTTTGCATGACGAAATATTTGGAATCAGGATTCAACTCGGTTCAGTTGAAATCAGAGGTTTATCGAAATCGAAAGTTTTACAACCATCTTGAATGAAGCTAACTGCAGTAAGTCAGCCAGTTGTGGAACAGTGACAATGTAAAGGGACTCGCTTCTCTCGCAGTGATGTAAACCCAAAAATCAGCAAACCTCCTCCCTTGAAATGTTCTGGCTACGCCCCTTATATCGTCATGGATTTTATTTTGAAGGTATAAAATGCAAGTCAACGTAAATGAGGCCTATCACTCCATGATGATGTGCATTATTGAATACATATTTTCGAAAGGGTGTTTGCAATGACGAATAGGTTTGACCGATGAAGGTAAAGGTATTAAAAAGGTAATTACCAAATTCCTCTACTGTAAAAATCTTGGTTGTTTTCTCTCCCTAAAATTAAAGAACTACATTGAGGGAAAATGTAAAAACATATATATAAGTCATAATATAGCCCGTGTGTTTTGAAAAACGTTTCTCATCACAACGCCATTAGACATGTTATTTGTATTTCAGATTAACAGACACATGCAATATAATCAATGATATGTTTAAAAAAGATGGAATATTGACAAAAGTAAAAATTAACACGATATCAAAAATATAATTACTACATACCGTCTACTATAATTCATTATAGTTTCCAACTTGAACTAGTGAATGTGTGAAATAAGAGTCAACTTAAGATTTGAATATACAGCTCGTCCTATGAAATTTATAGACAAGGGTACGTACCAAAACTGTCACGGTGATCTTCCAGTCTCCCAGTGGTGGTTGGTCTGATAACTGTAGAGACTTTGAGATGACCCCAGATGTTTCCTTCTGATTCAACCATTGTTTTATCTTGTTGTTATTCTTATCCTAAATGAGGGGGAAATATAGAGGAATTCACAAGATGAGGAAGATAAAATACTAAAGGAGGGGGGAAAGTATCGCAACAGATTTCGGACAGTCATATGTTGGATTGTTGCTATTTTCTGACGATTTCTACAGGTGCATATGTTAGACCAATGCATTACCTCAAGGGAAAGCACTCATAGAGATGATAAAATAATTTCGACTTTGAGACAGGGGAGGTGCAAACAACCCACACACATGTTTTTCTGAAATGTTGTTCTGATTTTCAACCCCTTCCACCCACAGGGGAGAAACACCAGGGTTCAAAGATGACATACGGTTATAATGTAAATCTGTATTGAGATGACACGGTCGCTGATTGGTCAAAAGTCGACAAACAAATGACGTCATCAATGGCGGTTTCAAAATTTTCGAAATACGCTTCGAATAATATTATGTTCATTTCTGGCGTGTTAACCAATATCATAGCTTCTCATTTCACATCAAGATAAAGAAAGGTGTACGGAATATGCCTATATCAATTATAACATCCCATCGAAGTGTAGTATTGGATAACTAGCCGATGGAAATTCGAACAAACGAAGGTGGTAAGCAAGAGAGGTAATTATGTCTGTCATCTTGAAACTCTGGGGCTTTCCCTCCTCTTCCTTCCAGCCTTGCTTTTTCAAGTTTTGTTGTATCAATATGTTGAGTTTTGACACGCAGTTAATCACTTTAAAGGAATAAGTGACTGTTGCGCTAATTTCCCTCCTCATTTGATAAATGAATTCCTAATCGGGTAATTTTGATTGATAAGAACTTGTTGTTGTTTCTTATCCTAAATCACCGGTGATACGTTTACGTGATACATCTCATATTGCGTCATATCTACTATCATACATATTGCACACAATACCTACACCGAGTTAAATGTTCAAATGTGATCATATAATATTGGTATTAATGTTATAATCAAGTATGTCAATAGGCGATGACAATCAAATTATCATAAAATATATTACCGAGATGAATATGTCCAAGGGTTCATCAAGAGGAATGCAGTCTGGCTTAATAACTAACACTCGGAACTTAACTGAAAGAACAAAAAATTTAGTTGCTTCGGTTGGTGACCATATTGCTCTACCATTGTAATTAGCTTCTGTATTTCGATGAACTATAATATGAAAACTATAATCATTTGCCACAAAAAAATGTCACGTTATTTTTTGATATAGCGGCGGAGTCAGATGTCCAGAAATAAGCCCTTTATAGTTCTAAAGTTTACTATTTAAAATGTTAAGGTGACATTAAAGTTAATCAAAAGTACAAATAAATGGCAGTCAGATTTTTTTGATAAAGTGACAAGATTTTGTATATGTTTTCCTTATATGTAAACGCATTTTTCATAACTATGAATTGGAGGTGCATGGATACCCAAAGCTAGCATAAAGAATTTGAAGTGAGGCTTATTTTTGAAAGTTTGAAGGAGTAGCCTTGCAACAGTCACACATTTGCAAGAATCCAAAATTTCAACAAATCATCTTACCTTCCCAGAAACAACGAAGGAGCATGAAATGTACACTTCTTGCATTGTTAGAGTATAATACAGCTCAAACCATAGTTTCTTATAAACATTTCATGTCCACCATTTTGTTTGCCGGAACTACTTCTACACTTCCTGATTAATACTCTTTGTGACTACACCAAGTGCCATGGATTATCACTTGTATATTTTATCTATTACAGTATAATTGTCATGATAGATACATGATCGAGGCTTTTTGCATGATGAACAATGGATACACGAATGAGGGTTACTCTGGACTGACAAATAGTCCCAGCAAACAAAATGGTGGACATGAAATATTTGGAATTCACAATGATTTGAGCTTTATTATACTCTAACAATTCAAGAAATACACATTTTCATGCTCCTTTGATGTTCCTTGGTAAGGTGACTTTTGGAAATTTTGGAGTAATACAAATGTGACAACGAAACAACCCTACTCCTTGAAGTTTTCAAAAATTAACCTCACTTCAAAGTTTTCATGTCAGCTTTAGGGACCCATACACCTAGAATTCATAGTTATGAAAAAAACGTTTATGTGCGATGTTAACTTTGTTCTTTAGCCAGGATATACAATTCATATATAAGGTAAACAGATTTTTAAAACCATGTGTCTTTATCAAAAAAATATGGCTACCATTTTTTGTACTTTTGATTTACTTAGCCTTCGCCTTAAAGTGAGGTAGTGATAACCGCCATTTCTACATCATAATTTACACATGATTGTCACGTGATCACTTCCGGTTATTGAACAAAACAACATTGATAATGCTCATAAAGTATGTGAAAAGCATGTTGATCACTCTTGTTATGCGAATATGAAACACTTTATGACAACAGTTTGTAAAACATATTTATGGCTTAAACTACATACAGGGTGGTCCAAAAAATGGGACACTCGCATTTCAAAAATAAATATTGATTTTCTTGATGAAAACATGTCATTATATACCAGTGGATAGGGGGGAATTTACTTATCTTTAATTTGGTATATCATAAATTCAAATTTATTTTAATGTCTGTCAACCAGCGTCAATTTTATTTACACAAACATACGTTCAATATGTCCATCATTTTGATCAATTGTACCCCTCAATTTTGGCCTAAACTGGTCGAAAACATCATCGATATTCTGTTGAGACTATCAGTTATCACACATTTCAGCATGTGATACAGGAAATATTCCACGAAAGGTAATACTGTATCATCAACGAAAGCGAAGCTTGAGTGGTGATACATTGTTACCCGAGTGGAATATTTCCTGTATCACATAAGCTGAAACGTGTGATGACGATTTTATCACATGTCTAGGAATTTTGAAGCATTTTGATTTGGTCAGTTATGATTGTGTTCAGTACCATGTGTACTTCTGGTAACTATTATAATTTTTGATTTCGCTTTGAAACAATATGACGTCATACCGTTGTATTCGTACTTGTTTGTGAAATAGTATGACGTCATATTGTTTTCCTTAGCTAGAAGTGACATAATCAGTGACGTCACATCGTTGCTATTGATCATCACTGGTTGCCTCTAGTAACGTGTGAGACGGCCGTGTGAGACGGAAAAACTCACACGGTAATCAACCAATCATATTACTGGAACTTTACAGAGCATGTGATAAAATGAATTCCACTTCTCAACAAGTCTATCCTTAATAAGGGACTGAGTAGATGTAAGGGGTTCATGGGAAACCAATTCTGTAGGTTCTCCCAATACATGGTAGTCGCAGACGTTGACATTGAACTATCTAATAATTATGTTGTTTTTAGACCATCCTGGTATGAGCTCATTCTGGAATCATTACATTTTCCAACAAGATGGGGCTCCAAGCAATAAATCTCACAAGAGTGTCAAATGTTTAAAGGAAAATGTGCCTAGATTCATCCCCCTAATCGCTGCCTCCCCAAAACCAGATCACATGATCACCCAGCGTATGCGACTACCACGTATGGGGAGAACTAACAGAACTTGTGTACAATGAATCCTTTACATCTATTCTGTCTCTTGAGGAAATAATTAAATTAATGAGAAGTGAAATTCATTGTCTTAACAGCATATCAATGATGCTATTGGCCAGTTTAGGCCAAAATTGAGGGGTACAATTGGTCAAAATGGTGGACATATTGAACGTTTGCTTATGTAAATAAAGTTGACAATAAAACTTGTTTTTGCAAGTTTTGGAAACCCCGTTTTGAAATGAAAATGATGTCATTTATATTATGGACGCTTGTTGACAGACATTATAATAACTTTGAACTTATGATATACCAAATTAAAGATCAGTAAATTCCCTATCCACTGGTATATAATATGACATGTTTTCATCAAGAAAATCAACATTTATTTTTGAAATACGAGTGTCCCATTTTTTGGACCACCCTGTACATGTATGATTGAGTATGATAATATTATAAATTCGGCGTATTATTGTAAATAATGACCAGCAAATAAGCAAACTGATTGCAAATGTTTGGCCAAGGCTACATCAAAAACAAATAAGAAAACTAACCTTCTTGTCCAGGTTTATAGATAGCCTTGTCAGTTTGAATGAAAACCGAGACACTATGGGGGTCAAGGGTCAATGTTGTGGAGTCTTTGAAGCGTAAACCTCCTGAACCCGATACCGTCAATGTGTAGACACCTTCATCTGCACTGGTAAGAATCTGGGCAACAATTTTTTATCTGATATTTAAGATGTATATGAAGACTATATATTACATTTTAAGGTGCTATGGAAGTTAACAGGAAATGACAAAACAGGAAGTTACAAAAAATTTGCATTTTTAGACATTTTTTGAACAAAGATAACAAAGTTCTGTTTTGACCTCCAGTCAATTCAACTAGTTCTAAATACCATTTACAGGTCTAGGATCAAAATGTTTATGGCCAGAATGACCCTAAACATGATGAAATAACCTTTTCAGCCCTAAACAAATGTGACTGAAAAATAGCTAAAAGAAGGAGGTAGGAAAGGTCACTGAACAGAATCCTTCGAATTTTTCAGAAAATGTGCCCAATATATTGCTCTAAATGATTCCATAGCACCTTAAAAGTTCACTCATCTAATAATAAACATATATGGTATTACCATCTTATGATACCATGGTCAAGTCAGTGCTATCAAAGGTAAAGTCAATGCTCTTTTGTATACTAGGAAAATAATACCGTTTATTAAAATACTTATACATATGATATACGGGTACTTACAGGTATAGCGATAACAGCTGAGGTTCCTGAAAAAGATTGAAATAACATTTTTTGGACATCGTGTTTCAAAAAATATCGGAAATCGAAATGGGATATTCTAGTTAACACTATATTAAAATATTATATAATTGTGTTAAATTGTAACATTTTTGTTTGTATCCGCAAAATAATTTTTGTGAAATATCCAATACTTTCTATAGTATAGAGGCAACAATAACCCAGATGCGAGTAGAAATAATCTTGATTTACGTCATTAAAAATTCAAAATTCAGTCAAAGTGATGTCATATTTGAAATCTGCATGTAAAAGTACATCTAATAATATGGTTTCGAAAATTGTTTATCAAGTTTGAAAGTTTAATTTTTTTTGAAAATGTGACTTCTTGTTCGGGTTGATTCCCCATAGACCCCATGATACAAAATCACAAAAAGTGAAATATCTTTTATTGTATTGGATAGATAACATTTTCTTTTACTGGACATATTTCAGTTTGCATAATTATTAGATACATAAGGGTTATATGAAAATTGAATCATTAAAACAGATGTGATTTAAGTTTAAGGGAACTTTCTCCTATACCCGCCATGCTATCTGACCCGAACGAGCCACCTGGTGGTGAATCTGGTAACTACCTACTCGCATCTGCGTTATTGTATTAGGCATGCCTTTAAAGTATCGTGTAGTGTTTTTTTTATGTCGAGATGTCTTGATCATTTGGTTATACTGATTTGAAAATGTGTTCGCCCCCCTTAAATAATTTAAAAATTTGCTCATTTCATATACTGCATACACGTAGGATGATGAAAGACAAAATGGCTGGAGGATCTGCACGTAAATACCAAAACAGACTATGACCAATCATTTCTAATATACTAAGGGCATCACCCCCCTCCCTGGCAACGACTTTCTCACCAGGTGCTATAGTCGCAGTTCCCACATATGTTTGTCCTTTTTTGGTAACCTTTGCAGTCACCGTCACTGGTCCAAGGCCATAGAGAATACATACTCCTATCTCAAGGTCTATTCCACGTCTAAACACTTTTGGAGTCACAACGAAATACCTGAAATAATACATGTCATAGAAAACAAATGAATATATTCCTATTGAATAGACTATGTGTTCATTACCATTACACAAGTATAATTCATTGTAAAATGATTGCATCGTGTCACCGCCGACTTTGATCTAACGTGGCTTCCGGAGTCATCGTTTTCACTCTCCAACCCTTTAACAACACTTCAATCTACATGGTCAGAAGTCAATACAAACTTCAGGAAAATTCATGTTTCAAAGGAAACATTCAAAATGCATTTTATCATCACATGGAAATGATTGATAAGCTAGAAACAGATTTTTTTCAAACATGAGACCTTGAAACACAAAATAGTGTTCTTCATTCTAAATTGTCAGTGGTTTTGGTTACTTCTTATAATCATTAGATGAAAGTACCACCAACGGGCTGCTGGAATCAGGAAAAAACGAAACGTATCTAAACATCTTCAGGATTTCAAGCAGTAATTATCATTACTTAGAGAGGCATTATACCATAGGTTTCTCCCCCAGACAATCAGTGATGTCCTATTGTATCAGATGCTGGCACACTTTTGCCGGAAGGTTGCAAGAAGTTACTTTTGGCAATGCAGTATGTTAGAGTAACCTAGTAGGTGTAAGAAAATATAAGGTAATGGCCTTTAAAGTGGTAAAAACAATTTTAACGGCCGAATTGGACTTCAATTCCTGCGATTTCAGGGGGTGCTATAAGACTTTTTCATAACATAAAGGGTATAGTTGCAATTGTTCTGTTCTCTACAGCACACAATACTAGTCCAAAGATGAATAATATCCTAAAGTTATAGGCCGATATATGTATTAGTCTCAGAAATATTGCAATTAATAGGAAAAAATATGCAATTTTAGTCATTTTTAAGTCTCACCTATTTTATATTTGTAGCTTCCAGCAAAAGATCAGCCTATAACTTTAGGATATTATTCATCTTTGGACTAGTAATATGTGCTGTAGAGAGCAGAACAATAGCAACTATACCCTTTATGTTATGAAATAGTCTTAGAGTACCCCCTGAAATCGCAGGAAGTGAAGTCAAATTCGGCCGTAAAAATTGTTTTTACCACTTTTAAGGCCATCGCCTTATATTTTCTTACACCTACTAGGTTACTCTAACATACTGCATTGCCAAAAGTTACTTCTTGCAACCTTCTGGCAAAAGTGTGCCAGCATCTGATACATATTGTTATTGCTCATATAATATCTAACATACCATGGATATCTTGAGAATAACTTTTTTTGGTATATTATTGCTGAAATATTGAAATAATCAACAGAACAACCAACCTCCAGAATTAAACACAATCGATTCCTCGGCTAGCGAGGGGAACCCCCACTGAGTCACACAAGCGCCCACAAGCGCCTTAAACCAGGCAGCCAATCAGGTTCATGATTAACAAGTTCAACGACAAATCAGATAACAGGAGGACTTTCCCGAAATATTCAAACTTCAGGTTGAATTGATTTCTGCGAAAATAATTAGATCGGCCAGCACAATCGCAAAATTTACACTGAAAGAGGGTGATTTTGGACTTCGAATATGTGGTGAAACACAATATGCGAAAAGGTCCAGAGGGGTCTTGATTGTGCTATCCTATGGCATAGAGCCTCTTTATGTTTGAAATGGCAAAACTTAAAAAGTTAACCATACATTCACGTATCGATTAGATATTCACTCTACTTCGAGTATTTGAATTATTTCCCAAGTGGACGAATGATCAAAGAACTAACAGATGAGACGAGAATTATTGCAACTGAAACGACGACTAAAGAGAAAGTAAAATAGTAAGTAAATACTCCAATGGTGAGAGTTAAAACCTAAAATCGGAATATCAAAAATAACATCATTACAAATACGACTTTAAGCATTGTATTCATCCAAACGCACCTTCAAAAATTACAAGACTGGGATTGGAAATATATTGCTTCCAGATCATTATGTTCTAGCCCCATAAAGTTAGAACCAACATTGGTTGTGACAAGTGATTTTAAGAGTAAGCTTTATCCACCTTTATCTCCAATATGCTATACAGTATTTCACCCGTCTTTGATTTTTTAATTACTCAACTTCTTCCTTAAAAAACTGTTGCGTTACTTACGTCGGTTTTATCCGAGGTGCTGGTGTTGGTGGTGTTGTACGCAGCGGTAATGTCAGTGTTGGTGGTGGCGGCGGTGGTTCTGCCTGTGTCGGACTGAAGGGCAATATCCCCAAAACTGTTATAAGCATCCACTTCATCTTGCCATTAACACCCTATGCAGACAGAGCCTGTGGGAAATATTGGGTGCGGCGCAAATGAGCGGAGGGTGCGGAGCTAACGGTCATTTTTGAATTTAAAATTGGGATATTTCTGAAACTAAGCCGTTTTGGGACTTCAAATATACCAAGATATGTGTATTTGACACCAAATATCAATAAAATTGTGAAAATAGTAGTGCAATTTATTTTATAGCGACGCAGTATGCCTTAAACATTTCCCAGACCTATATATTTTGAGACTATCCTTTTAATACTGCGTCCCCAGCATTCATAAAAAATGGTGTTCAAGATACACTACCCATGCAAATTATTTTTGCATCTTGGAAGCCAGGCAGTATCTGTGTGATTCTATAAAAATTCGGAAATGTTCTTCAGATATGAGCCCCTCTAAATATTGGGTGCGGAGCTACGTTTATGGAGCTGCTCCGCACCCAATATTTAGAGGGGGCTCATATCTGAAAAAAATTCCGAATTTTTATAAAATCACACAGATACTGCCTGGCTTCCAAGATGCAAAAATAATTTGAAGAGATAGTGCACCTTGAACACCATTTTTTATGAATGCTGGGGACTCAGTATTAAAAGGATAATTTCAAAATATATAGGTCTGGGAAAGGTTTAAGGCACACTGCGTCGCTATAGAATGAATTGCGCTACTATTTTCACAATTGTATTGATATTTGGTGTCAAATACACATATCTTGGTATATTTGAAGTCCCAAAACGGCTTAGTTTCAGAAATATCCCAAATTTAAATTCAAAAATAACCGTTAGCTCCGCACCCTCCGCTCATTTGCTCCGCACCCAATATTTCCCACAGGCTCTGTCTGCATAGGGTGATTAAGCTTAAGAATCAAAATGAGATTAGCATTTTTATTTAGTAATGTATAATTAAAGGTAGAACAGACACTTGACAGAAAGTGCTTCCATTTTAGAATGCTTTTGGCTCATGTTATCCCTTGTCATGCCTATTTTCCAAAAATGCCCAAAGAACATTGACGGTTTTTGCAATAATGCTTTGTTTTTTCTAGAGGATTGGTGTCGATATGGCGAACTAAATTCAACATTGTTCTTCTGTCAAACCAATAAATGAAAACATTGTCCCTTATGTAATTGTCACTGATTGACAACAATTTAATTCTAAAATTATTGATGCATATTTTATATAATTGTTTTTGTGAACTATTTTTGTTTTTTAGTACAATTGTTTTCGTTAGTACCTCAGTTGAAATACTCGATTTTGATTGGTCAACGAGCGGTGAATAATTTTAACTGTACACCGCGCAATGCATTGCCGGTGAATAATATTCCCAGCATTCCACTAAAATGACGTCATTATCAGACGATAAAATGGCCGCCGCTAGCACTAGCCGTTTCAAAAATGTTGAAGATGAGGATATTATTAGTCTCTTAGAGAGCAAAGACAGTCAAAAAACGAAGAAAAATCTAAAACTTTGTACAAAGCTTTTAGTGGACTTCGCCCAGGAGAGTAATTTGACAATTTGATACAACATGAACGTCTCGAGGGTCTGGATCCAACTTCAAGTCAACTTCAAGGGTCAGAAAAATCTAAGTTATTCTTCGGACTAACAAAACAATTATAGACCTCTCCATTCGGTTTACTGTCAAAATTATATCCCTCGACTGTAAACCTCGTCCTACGGTCTCGGTTTACAGTCTCGGGATATAATTTTGACAGTAAACCTCTGGAGAGGTCAATAATTGTATATTGTTCCTTTCAACCAATTCTTGAGAATGAAATAAAATATCTTTTCGAACCTTGTTGGAACAAAATTGTACATACAGCATTTTCTTAGACCTCTCAATAATATACAAAGGAAAGCTTGGTTAATTTAACAACAAGTATTCAAAACATTTAAATAGAAACCCCATTGCATTCCGAACATATGATACGGAGAAAAAATACGTTTCTGATTTCTAAAACTATATAACTTTTCAAATTGAATTGTTTCCTTCAAAAGATGATCATTAAATGTTAAAAAGGCATATTTTGGAAATACTGTGAATAATTGGTGGACATCTTAAGAAGTTAGATGAAAATTTTAAAATTTAACAATGGTTAAAAAGATTGTCTAACAAACTCACTAATGTGACTCTCCCTTTATGATGTCATAAATTACAACTTGTTAGAGACCTGCATTGTTATTCATTTTCCTCTCTGGCTAAGATATCATTTTCTATATTTTAAATTTTTCATACTTTAATTAAAAAGTTGGACTAACGTGATGGCTGACATGGCCCGTTGATTTATTTACTTAGCATCATCAATCGAATTGTATTTCATCAAACAACATTATTGGATATTGTATGCTCTTACCATCAATAAACAGAACAATCGCATTATTGTTTTTGAAACTATTGACTTTAATGGTTCTCATATCATATACTGTTATTTTATAACAAAGCAAAGGGATGAATGCGGAATGATCCAAACAGGATGTATATCATAGCGATATCATCCCCTAGGCGCGTGTACAAGGCGCGCATGACGTTTTATTTTAAGAGCAATAATGAGGTTGAACCAGCAAATCGTTCGAATTCTTAAACGCAATGTCACGTAATATATTATTTTTGCTATTTATAAGCTAACAAGATTATTAAGCTCTAGTTTATGAAAGACAGCACAAAATAATATAAGATAATAATTATAGATATATTAACTACAAGTTTCTATTATTACAATATAATCATTAAACATATACATTTGGCTTCAGCCTTCAACCCAGTCATTCGTTTTCCGAAAACAACAGTCTTTACTACCAACTATTAAGTGCTGTAAAATACAACTTTCGTTCGATTCTTGATGCGTAAGTTCAATTGAGAGATTAGTCTAAGTGCTAAATGTCTAATACTCGTTTTATTAAATAGCATGAGAGGCGAGCGGTCAATCATGCGATGCTATAGATAGGTAGCTGCTCTGGGCATTGCATTCCCTGTACTAATGGATTTTGGAAGAAATTTTGAATTAAAAGGGGTAGCTGCTTGAGGCACTGTACTACCCACGGGGTGACTTTGAAAGGTAGCTGCTCAGGGCACGGTACTAACTGGAAGTTCAAGTATGAATATCACCGTCGAACAATCAGATAAGGAAGCCGTTCGCGGGCACCCTTGCACCCTGATATGAATATAATATAATTATATTTGTAAATGAATGTAAATGAAAGATGGCCAAAAGACCAGTTGCTTGCTGTCAAGTAAACGACTGGGACCCCAAACGTGATTAAAAACTGTTTTTTCTGAGTAATATCAAATCACAATCATTCAGTTTAAACAAGTCTACGCGAGGACCGAACCACGGTCGTCATACTTCCGCAAGACCATAGTCAAGTTTTAATATCTGGTGTACTTTAACGCTACTTATTTTGAACGTTCTAATTCAGAACTGGCGTCACGTTCTAAAAGGAACCTTCCAAAAATCATATTATCGGCGACAATCGAAGCAATTCAAAGAACAATCCTCATAATGACACATTCATCTTGAGTATTTCTACACAAGATTTGCCCCATTTGTTCACCATATAATCAACGATCAAAATCTTACAGTTGATCCCGAAACAATCCAGGATTGCGTTCTAAAGCAATGGGCATGCTTAAAATGGCCGAGAAGTCAGCATGCATTGTTTTGTATATCTAAACAAAGACGTTAAATGGAAAGGACCAAAAACGTTAAAACCTAGCAAGAAAAGCAAACTCTAAGTATAAACCAGTCGTAAAAAATAGACCCTATTTTTCCTAAAACCATTGTCCAACGTGTAAAGAAATAATGTCTAACATCCCTCTCCCCCTCCAATTAAGAAACAATATCTCGATCCAGGACCATAAGACCAACGGGTACTTCATTCAAACTAGAATCTTTTGAGAATGAATTCATGAATTTTCACGAGAACGATTACACTGAACGAAGTTAAATTCAATTGCATCACCAGATTTGAGAGAAGATATACGATATATGCATCCTATCTTTAAATATTGATGATAGTATTATTCATCTACGGACTTACCTTCCAAACGATTTTGTATCTTTACTGGAAAGCTACAAACAACTTTCGATCCTGGCGAAATTTATATTAATCACTACAACTGTATCAACATAGACGATGAATGTACCATGCTTTGATATTTACAATATGTTCATTATGTGTATATTTTATTGCAATGTTCTTTTGTTCAATGTTTATGAAAACGCTTCTGTCTGACAATTTACATTGAATCTGCCATTATGAAAATGGCGATTAGCTGCACGCAATTACCACTTTACGATATCATAAATCCTTAGAACTGAGCAGCAACTTGTATATTTTATCAAATCACTATGACTGAGTAATTTTGAAGACGATTTTATCAAATCACTATGACCGAGTGATTTTCAAGAATATTTTATCAAATCACTATGAACATATAATTCTAAAAGATATACAAGCAAAACAGTGATACTTCAGTGGATGTCTTTATTAATTCATTTAATTTAACTTATTAACTCCAATATCCTCCATTATACATTTAATACTTGTCCTACTGGACAAATGTTTATGACTATTGAAGTTGAGATCGAAAACCTTTGAATACAGTGGACGCTAGTTGACTATTGTATCATAATTAATTTGGACTTATGATATATCAAATTAAAGATAATTAAATTCCCTATCCACTGGTATAAATTGTGACATGTTTTCATCAATAAAATCAATGCTTATTTTTAAAATACGAGTGTCCCATTTTTCGGACCACCCTATACATGCAATTCACGGACGCCATTAAATACAATTTGATGTGAAAGCAGTCCCAATGCAAACAAGAGGTTATGGGAGTGGGGCATTTTTCCTTTTTGTAGTGGCTCCTTTCCAAACATTTTCATCTAGTATGAGCCACGGATAAGCAACACTTCTCTTTATACAAACTTAAATAAAATATGTTGGTACGTTTTGAATATATTACCATTTTATGTCAAAAAACTCCACAATACATGTACATTTATAGTACTCCATTACTAGATATAATTATTTTTTCTATATGAATATTTTAAGTTATTGAATGATTTGAAATGATATACAGGATACATTCTGCTCGAGGAATTCCGTATTAGAACGAGACAAAGTCGAGTGCCAATACAGAATATCGAGAGCAGAATATACCCTGAATTGCACTTAAAATCATTCTATAACGTTTTTATCGTGTGATTCTCTGTATTGCTACTGAGAATGTCCACTCCGTACCCATCTGTATTGCGACGGAGATGATCAATGGGGACAATCTCAGTGGCAATACAGATTGGTACAGCACAAAAACTGACCAATCAGAAGGCTTCATTTTACAGATCATACGATAAAGATTAGTACAGCACAAGAACTGACCAATCAGAAGGCTTCATTTTACAGATCATACGATAAAAACATGTATAAAATGATAAACAACTACAAGTCACATAATATACCCAGCAAGATCAGAAGATGCATGCATCCGGAACCAGTTCGGAATCGATTCTTCCAACAAGACTAATTCTCAATGCAGCCATCTTTCACAATTTTGACATGGAGACCATTAAATTGTTCTCTAACTGTGACGTAATTTTATCCATGGTTACAACAATTGACTTACGAATTCGTATCGTAACTTTACGAAGTTTCTGTTAATAGAGAGGTTAAGCAACACCACTTTTTACAACGTAAACCGCGAACGGGAAGGCGCGCGCAGGTTTTTCTCAGGATGTGACGTCATATTGTTCTACTTATTTCCCGGTTTACGTACATCCAAACGTGAAAAATCAAAGTCTAGGTAGTCGTTCCGTAAAGGATTTTTCATACTTTATCAAGTTCGATTGAGATAAATATGATATAGGTCGAATACATAGATATGTTTGACACAAATCTGTGTATATATCGAGATCATTTGTGTCCAATCTAATCAAATATAACTTGAATATTGAGGCACCCATTCCATATGTAAAATCTGATGAGATTACATGCAATTGCAATTACCCACATGTCAACTCATCCTTATTCTTTATACATATTGTGACACCATAGTAATAAAACTATGAATGCCTTGAAGACTTGCTTTAAAGATATTATTGCGTCCAGTTGTATTTTGTAAGATTCAAGATGTCATAGAACACTACCAGGGTGTGAAACATCTCCTTTGTCAATAAAGTAATCGTTTTATACTTTTAAAGTAGAAAATAAAACGAAACGCCGCTAAGAAAAAGAAAAAAAATCATTTTGAGGTTTGCGTTTGCGTTACGTCTAAAGTGCTCAGCTTAAAGCACGTTTGTTCATAGTACGTATACGGGAACGTAAAGGTTTACGTTTGCGGTTCGCGTCATAAAAAATCGTCTTGCTTAACCTCTCTAGTGACCCATTAGGAATACTTTAACCAACCATGGTGTTTGCTGTTAGGACGTTTGACTCAGTCTGCTGCACAACCCCCGAAAAGGATCACTGTATAGGAAGAACCTATCAAATGTTTTGATGCTTTACTATCTCACCGCTTGTAATTCATAATCAACTAAAGACCAAAATGCTTGATCACTTCAACCTTCAACTAATTTAACCTATTTTTGAATAGTAATATATACAAATCAGTTCCCTCGCTTAGGAAGCAAAGACAGTTTTGTACCAATGATAAAAAGACATGTTTCATTCGTAACAAACAATTGACATGTATTCTCTTAGTTCTAACCATATTTCGAAACCGAACTTAAATACACACTTCGTATTAGGGGTCAAATATTTAGATGAAATTTGAAGGATAAAGATGATAAAATCGAGAAAACAAAAAAAATATTTTCGACCGGAAGTCCGACCATGCTGAAACGAACACATCATGTCTTAATTTCCAGTTGATCACCAGTGATTATCAATGCATGCATCGTGATTTCTCTTATAAATAAACAACCAGGAATTCAACTTCAATGTCGATGGAAAAACAATTATTACATCCTGGTTGTTTCATGCGACATCTTGATGTCAATAATAATCCGGGCTATATTATGGGACTAATAAATAGATTTAGATATATTTCTGCAAAACATTTTGAACAACCCTTGTATGAAGATTCTAGCTCAATTTTGAAGGAAGATTATATCATAACAAAAATTAGGTTCTAGCTATGTTTGTGAAACTCTTTCTCTCTCATGCTATGGTGGTTTACTTTCAGAATTGTTTTTTTTTCAGAATTGTTGACAGACATGTCATCCTCCGATCACAGGGCTTCAAAATCCAGAATATATTCTATATTTTTACCTCCTACGATAAGCAGTTACCATTTCCCCGATTAAGAACTCGCAATCTGATTGGCTGTCGCAACACTGCGACAGAAATCATTTATAAAGCCATTGCGCATAATGAGATCACGTGATTCAGTTAAATCGGGCGTTTCCAAGTGGTGATAGCAGGGGGAGAAGTAGGTACGAATTCTGGACACCTGCTCAGGAGGATGCAGACATGTAAGTAGTGATAGTTTATGGCCATGGATGGGCATATATGCCATGGTTTCTGAGTTCAACAAAGAAATTATTGGCGTCTTCTAAAGAATATTCTTTAAAAGCATCCCAGCCCGATTTTTTCATGTATGGATGTTTATAGTGAATCTCGACAAATAATTCATCTATCAGCGGCCATGTTCCTCTTTTCTTCAAATAGTCGAGAACTCTGTATTCCGAACCTTCAATATCCATCTTAATGACCAAGAAATCGTCTGATTTAATCCCTAATTTGTTAACAATGAAATCAGCAATATCTGTCTTTGTTGTTGACGATTCTACCCCAACGAATGTTTCGTATAGTCTGACTCGGCTCTTTTCCTTTTCTGGTATGCAAAACAGGTTTCTTTTTACTTCAAAAGCGTAAATTTCCTTGAAATTGCATGGATAGTTTTCAATGAACCAGCCAACGCTGGATTCGAACGTCTTGGCGCCTAAATCTATCAGTACTTGGCGGGGAAATGTTGAGCAATTCACTTTCCTGAAAAAATATAACGCATATATTGTTTACTTCCTTATTCTTACACTTCTTGTTAATAAACGGTTTTTAGTGTTGACCTTCTTCTGTTTGATGCTTGACCTTTAGGTGACCTTTGTATTGACATTGAAGCAAAAATACTCCAACATTTAAATAGGATCATAACCTAAATAAACATATCTATCTAAATATCTTCATTCAAATTTTCAATTAACATTGACCTTTTTGACCCTGACAACATTACAAGATATTCATTTTCTAAATATTAATGTATGTCATATAGAGCTTTTACTACTACTAAGGTCAAAGTTCAATGGCGGATCCAGAAGCTAAAAAGGGGGGCCCAAATTTTGAGTCAGTAAAAATTGAGCACTTAAAACCAAAAATTGAGCCCAAAATCTAAGTCCCATTTTTGAAAATATGCCAAAATGCCCATTTTTGGGGCCCTAATTTTTTTCTGGGGCCACACAAGGGACACCCCCAGATCCACCACTGAAGTTAGGCGAGGTGTGTGTTAATGGACAAGGAAAAGGCTGAGGAGGTCCATCAGATTTTTCGACTTCATTTCCAAAATCAGAATAGAATATTTTTAAGAACTCTTGTGAGGCAGCTGACCTTTCATGATGATGTATTATCGTTTTTTAAAGAAATTAAGATTTCAAAGTTAATGAACAACATTTTAAAACCAATTATTTTAGTCCCTTTTTGAAGCAGTTACTGCCTGCGTCATACCTAACTACATCCATGTACATTCAACCTTTTTAGTTTTGCTATGGCAACGACTATGACATTTCATGATGTATCGTTTTTTTAATGAACTTGATAATAACAGTATTTCAAGCCAAATGACGATTTCAGAGTTCATAAACTACATTTACAACCAATCATTTTAGTCCCTTTTTGAAGCAGTTACTTTGCCTGCGCATACCTGACTAAATTCATGTACATTCATCCTTTTTAGTTTTGATATGGCAACGACTATTTCATTTCATGATGTATAGCTTTTGTTGACTCGTTTTATTATTCTATAATGGATTCCTAATTGCAGCTCATGTTTGTACGCAGTGCCTCTGGGTCAAATATACATCCAAATGGAGTGTGAATACATGCAGTTTACAGAATAAAAATAACAAAAAAGAAAATGATTAATATTTACATAGATCTGCAATCAGTTTCCCTCCATTTCGTGTTTCTGATTACACGGCGGTTATTTGTAATGGTGATAAAAGAGTTTCATGTTCTAATTCATGCAATTTCTCACATATTCCAAACACCACCAGCAACCTACCTTCCCAATAAATGTTCCACCAGGTGATCCTTGCTCTCGATATCTTTAGTTCTTTTAAGATAGTAATTTTTCCTAAAGTGATACTCAGGTTCAAGTTTTTCAATGTTTAATTGTTTGTATGATACACTATGTCCTGCATTTGTATTTGTAATACGAGAACGTGTGGTGTTCTCAGAAGTTCTTTCACGCATCCTGATTTCAGTCAAACATAACACAAGGAGCCCAATAGTCAGGGAACAAAAAATGATTAGATGAACTTTTGAAAACTTCATTACTATATTCCGATTGCCAACTCGTGATATTCACCGTATGTATTCCCAACGACTATAAAATGATTCATTTTATAAAGTCATTAATCTCCGTCAAAATATGGCATTAGCCGTTGCGATGTTTATCATGCATTTTTATTTTGAATTTCATGAAGGAATGTTTCGCTATTTTAATTTTACGTTATATTTATCATAAAACAAGCTTTAAAAGAACTTGGGGCAATGAGGTCTTCCGGAGAATATATATCTTCCTATTTCTAAAAACATACACACCCCAACTATGTACAACGCACGTTCACTAATGGTAACGAATATTATTACCACCTTGCCGGGCCAGTTCTAGGGGTTTTAGTGCTAGTTTAGAAGGCGTTCATTGTACTATATCGACCTGAGAAATGTGTGACGTCATAGTAGTGGTCCATATGGACCGGTCTAGAATATATTCTGGACCGGCAATTTTCCCCGGGAAATTAAATATCGTTCAATGCGTAAGATTTTCTTGCTGTTTCAGTCCTGGTCGTTAACGGTGGTAATAATACTAATAACGTCATTTCTGCGAGCGATATAGTGAAATATTCGACCTTGGGCCTTCGGCCCTTGGTCCAATATTTCACTATATCGCCCTTAGAAATGACGTTATTGTACTATTATTAATGCCTTGGTCGCATTTGATCTACGGCAACCGTAAAGACAGTAGCTTCCAAAATATGAGAGAAACATGCAGCATACTTTCTGACCTAATTTTTGGCTTTTGACTTTCCATGAAAAAACAATTGCTTTCAATTTTATGTTTTTGTAAAACTGTAAATGTATAACTATACTAATGTAAATGTTATGGTTAAATAAAGTAATTATATCTTAATTTTATTGAAACGGCAATACCAAGATAACTACATGAATTATAACATAATAAAATAAGTTATATTTGTGGATTAACAGTGAGTGTGAGTTTCAAAAAATACCAGAAATACACAGCTGGTAAGTTAATTTTTGTTTAGACTACACATTTTGAAAGTACGATATTAAAATAGTAAATCTTAATCATTGTGACATTATTATCGCAGGCCACTATGTTTACTAGCTGATCCTTAATCATCTTAATATGTTTCATTCAAAATAAGATGTTTTTGCACCCTCAGTAGACTTTGAAGTACTTTTTATAGTTTAGTTTAAGTTTTAGTTTAAAATAGTTTATTTTTGTGTCACTGATATTTCAATATACATATAAAATACATAATAAAAACAACATTTTGTAACATCACCAGCCGGTGCCGACTTATGAGACACAGTATACATTATATCTGAGTTTCACCCATTACTACCCCCAATGGGCAGCTTGGGTCAACATTCATAAAGACAGAGACATATGATGTCTCTGGTAAAGATTTATACATTAATAACCAATGATATCAATTCACAACTCTTATAATCAGTTTGGCATAATTAAGCAGTTCATGGAATCATATTGTCAATCATTTCATTCAATACGATATATTGCACCTAATGTAAGATGGATATTGCATAATAAATACATATATTGCACTAAATATGAGTAGCATGTTGCATATGGTCAAATATTACAATAAATACAAATATTGCACTAAATGTGAATTGCATAATGCATACGGTAGAAGACAGATATTACAATAAATACATACATTGCACTAAATGTGGGTAGCATGTTGCATCTGGTCAAATATTACAATAAATACAGAATATCACATCATTTTGAGTGATATCATTTTTGATCGCCGAGTTGATATCAAATATCAACACGAGTGAGCGAAGCGAATGAGTGTTGATATTTGATACCTACGAGGCGATAAAATGATATCACGAGAAATTATGCGATATTGGGTTTATCCCATGAGTTTCCCATGTGAATGTCGAAATTCGCCAATTCTTCGTCAGACGAAGACTTAAAGAGAATAAATTAACGGACCTATTTTCTCAAAAGAGAATATATTATCTGACCTAATTTCCAACAGTATTGTGGCGCGAAATGCAAATGTGATATCACACGGATATGCGTGAGATAAACGATATCACACGCATATGAGTTTGATAAACGATATTCTGGAAAATACCACACAGATTTCAATAATATCAGAAATATCAATAGCTGTTATTGTACAGATAACACATTAATCGTGGGATAAATATGAATATTGCACTAAGTGTGAGATGGATATTGCATAATAAATACATATATTGCACTAAATGTGAGTTGCAAGTTATCAAATATTGCAATAAATACATATATTGCCCTAAATGTGATTTGCATGACTGAATAAATACAACGAGAACCCCATAGTTAATATACACCTCTGTAGTAGTGTTCGAGACCATCTTCCCCAAGGTCGATAGTTCAAAGCACTTAAGAGGGGCGTCATAAAACCAAGGAGCTTCTGACTAGATACACTTTTAGATAGATATTTTATAAAAGAAACTTAGGTGACATGCATACTCATTTAGTGCCTAGCCTTTATAGCCTATCAATATTAAGAGATCTCTTATTGCACATATTGCAAACTAAAGCTCCTAATGGTCTTTGGAGTAAAGTACAATTCATAATGGAGACAAAAAGAAGTGTAGAATTGGCTGATGTTACATCTAAATAAGGCAATTTCTGTTTAACATTTTCATAAAATTTACATCTTAGATCATTATAATGGCTACATTCTAATAAGAAATGCTTTTCATTTTCAATACAATTCATGTCACATAATAAGCATTTCCTTTCGTGTAATGGTATACCTGTGTAGCGCCCTGTTTCAATTGCTAAGGGCAAAGTACCAGTTCTGAATCTAGCAAGTGACCTACGGTGATGTACCGGGCCAAATACCCTTCCTTGCAAACACCATATTTGTACAGTCTATATTGCCTCAATTTATTGCCATTTATTTCATTATTTCTATCATCCCATATGTTATGGATAAACGAATGGCTATAGACACCCCTGGGGTCACTTAACATTTTTTGAAATATTGCAATGTCGTTAATATCCTTGATATGTAAGACCAAATTGTAGATAAATATGTATATTTTCAAGAAATAGCAATAAAAAGCATTCAAGATTCCTGATATAAGTATATTTTGGTTGATTCGGGAGTTATGTATCACTTCCTGTGAAAATGTGAATTTTTTATCAGTCTCAGAAAATGTCTCTAGAATGTATAAACCCAACTTGGCAGATGTCCCATTGTTTGATTGTGTCACTCTATACACTCATTGGATTAATAGGTCATTCTGAGCGGATGAATATAATTTTTCATATGTGTCAGCCCAGTGGTTCAGAACTATCTGTTTATCATACGCCAATTCACCAGATTGATTTTTCATTGTCCATGGAACATCTTTGGTACGCTCATTGGCTATTCCTATTATCCCTATGTATTTCCAAAAGTCTTGTGAACTGGATGATTTGTACATGATTTAGAACGTTTGTGGGTTGGATTGGTTTGCTGGGGTATAGGTTCACATAAACGGTCCATTTCTGTTGACATTGTCTTAACAAATGTGTCATAAAGAGTTTTTATTTGATTGACAGATACTTCTTCATTTGTTATCCTATCTTATGTTTCCATTATTTGCCGAGAAAGTTCTTCATTTGTAAAGAAATCACCTGTGATTCCATTTGTTTTATATCTTTTAGGTGGCTGTACTAAAGGTGTTTCTGCATCAATCATTTCATCCAAATTGTATACAGATTCAGTTGAATCCTGTAAACATTTCAGAGTGCATGTCAAGATAGAATGATCGGGAAGTGCTGTAGGGGCAGTGAGATTATAACCGTCAATAATGGTTGTCATCCGATGAACTTTAAAAATTTTCATAATTTTCAAGAGATTCCTGTGGACAACACATATAGTCCACCACTGAGCGTCCTTTTTGAGAAATACATGTAAAATCGTTGTTTTCCTTGTCATAGCGACCATTTAGAATGCAGATGTTACTATCAATTAAAAATGTTAGGAAGCTTGATTTGTGACCATTTTCTTGTGTGTCGAGTATATCTCTTTCACGTACATCGTCGATTCCTTCAATATAGTCAGTATTCATTCCAATCCTAGCATTAAAATCGCCCATTATACAAAGATATATAATAAGGAACTATCTGGCATTATGTATGACTCTCAGGAAAATGTTTTAAATGTTTACTCTACAGTATGTGTTTCAACTATTTTATCCCGTTAAGAACGCGTGGACTGTTTAACGGTTCAATGTGGTTTCAGAAAGATACCTTACCCCCCCCACCCTATCACACCAAATTTTACGAAAACGTCGTAAAACGGCTCAATCTAGCTGTGGTCGGGAAATATGTCTAAAATAATTAGCTACTTCGTTCCTAAACAGTCTTCAATACGTCCATCTCATTCGCAGTTCGTTCAGGTCGCACCACGTCGGTGTACAACGTCGTATAACGCGTCCCTTAGTCTAGAAGGTCATCATGACCTGATTAAAGAACGGTATGGTCTAACCAAAGATGTGGAGAAATATGAAACTTTCGTTTTTTACCTTGAGGAAGTATTGGGTGAAAAGATCTTTCAATTAACGGACGGATATAACAAGAAAACGAAAAAGAAGCTTCGAGAGGCTTTCAAGGATTTGACCAGGACTTTGAGGAAACACAAGAAGTTGGAGCCAGCAATAGAAAGGCTGATAGACGCCGAACAAAGATTGAAAATAGAAAATGAGAAATATCGTACGATGGAGCTTGAAATAGCACTATTGCAAAAATAGAAATGCATAAACCCACTACCGCTTCGATGGACACTAGTACCCACGTATTAGTTACGAACTGACATGAAAAAAAGTACTCTGGTTAAGGGACAGCTGATAACTGACCACTGGGCAAAGATTATTTTCTTTGTATTAGAATCCAGTAATATATTTTACTAAGCAACATTGATTCAAAATACAAGATGTTATATTTTGTTCCTTATCAATATTATCAAGAATAATTTACGTCAAGCTCGACCTAATAGTTATATAAGGGTTATGTACTGGGAGGTTTTGGATACAGGATTTATCCCGGTCCCTCGGGATATACACATATTTCCCGA